GATCAGACTCTGACTTGGGAACATGAGTGAGAACTACGCCCTGGTGATCTCCTTGTATGTTTCTCAGAGGCTTCAGGTTTGCCACTCCAGACATTGAATGTGTTCTTGAATCTCTACTCAGATGCAGCCCTGCCTTTCTTTTGCAATTATCACGGGACCAAAATGAGCTTGGGCATATAAATTTCCAGGCACGCAGGCAGACAAAATCTGCTTTTGTGCACTAATTTATACTTGCAGGCACTTTCTGAACCAACCGTTTCTATTCTCTCACCACCTCCCAATCTATATTCAAATGTGAGCGTGTTCAGAAACTGGGTCAACAGTGAGAAGAAAGAGAAAGAGAGAGAGGAAGGGAATATCATGCAAAAGACTAGTTACCTGCCTGGTTAGAAACTGGTGGAAAATGGCAACTCACAATTAGGACAAAGAGCACAGCTATAACCAGTCCTCTGGAATCATTGCTGGACAGACGTGGATTGCTCTGCAGTGTGCAGGTAGAGGAAACAAGATGCCCCAAGCATAATTCAGTTGCTTAAGACCAGGAGGCATCAGGAATCAGAATCCAAGACTTAGAAAGGGTCACATAGCCTAATGAGAGCAACACCCTGCTCAGTGCAAGAACACTAATTACAAGGTCCCCCATAAAAAGAGGCAACCTGCCTTTTTCAAAAACCTACTTTTACTATTACTCTTGTCTGGAAGGACAAGGAATGACTCATTTGGGCAAGCTTAGAAGAAATCAAGACCTTCTGATGAGTAGTATTTATTGAAGAACATCAGGAAGCCACAATGAAAGAATTTCAGCAATTGCTGTCTTTTCAAGAGCACGTCTTATGTACGCAGGACTTCTTGCATACCATTTTTCTTCCCATCCTACATAACTTGGCCCCCACTTTTGAGTGGGTTGGCTTCTTTTCCATCGGTCAGAAGTGCTAGCGTATGCTGACTGTGTGAGAATCTCTCTCATAACTCTTATAAGTTACAGTTAACCTTGGAAGCTGCCAGTATTGACCTAGATTACAATGGTCCTCTCTAATATGCAATGTCTATAATCCCTGATTTTGGCCATGCTGGCTAAGGGCCATGGGAGCTGAAGCTCAACAGATCTGGAGAACACAAGGTGCATAGGTACACATATTCATGCTTCAAAATTTACCATCATATCGCTGAAAATGAACGAAGTACCTATTGCTTGCTTTAAAGAACGTCTCTCATTCTTCTGTGGTGCCCACCGAGCACAGATAGCACTGTAGCACCGACTGCAACCAAATGTGAGGTATAAATACCATAGTTTTCCTATGGGTATTTCCCCCCTTTTCTGCATGGACTCTCTTTCTTCCTGTGGCTTTCCTCCTCTGTTCAAATTGGACTGTCCATCTTTTGAGAACAGAAACATATTCATGTCATTCCAGACTCGGCGTCCATTGTAAGAAACTGTATGTGGGACTGCCTTGCATTCAGTAGGAAAAACTGGGCCATTTATGAATGGGGAAGAGTAGGTCAAGTAGGTTTACATCTATGTTTTGGTTGGGGAGTTGATTGCTAATAACAGGCTTCTGGACCAAAGTCAAGATACTGGTTTAACCTGTTAACAGCTTAGCACCTGTTTATTACAAGATCATCTCTCTCAATCAGAATTAGACCATCTTGTGCATTTATCCCCAAAAGGGCTGCTGAAGGTCCAGATCCCATGTTAAGTGAAAGCAGTGGGGGCCCAGAGATGCCCCCTCTTGTTGGTGGTCAACATGCTATGCAATACTTTCCCTCTGCCTTGTTTTCCTTTTCCAGATTTTAAGGCCATATTGCTCCGATGGGCTTTTTATGCAAAGAATGGATTTGGGTTACTTCTGTAACTATCATTTTTTCGTATGTGGGTTTATGGATGATTTTATTTTTTGACAGTCTGTAAACCATCCTGAGATTTACAAAGTGGAGTGGGATACAAATGACTGCATAAATAAATAAATTCAGGTAGTGAAGCCAGGAGGTCATCAGAGCAGGTAGCACCATTCCAAAATGAGGGACGTTCCTGGAGAAGAGATGAGTCTATCTTGGTTTGTTTCAAAATGCTCCAAGAACATAGGCTTTCAACACTCCTCTGCCAGCTGCATTGTTTATCTATGGCCCAAGTTTCATTTATCGGTAGAATTATTAACCTTTCAAGACTTATTGAAAATCAATCCTTTCGCTCATTTCTAAATGGGAAGAAAGCTGCTGGACTCACTCTTCCTGTCCAACCTCAGTCTAACCAGAAAGGGGGAGAAAAGAAAAACTACAGTAAATCAGCCAAACGTGTCACTAAGTGGAGAAATGGAAGTCTGGGTGATTGTAGCAAAGCAGTGATATCTTGACAACTGATGGCCCGCTAATGGATATTTTCAGAAGTTAGCAGAAACAGGCAGTATATCACGTAAACTGGATCCCACATTGCTAATTGAGAAGAAAGGCAAGTCTTGGTCCTGATAAAGTCGCTCCTCCAGCTTCTGATGTCTACAGGATAAAATCTGAGCTTCAGTAACCAAACCAGTCCAATGCAGGGACAAGAGAAGGCTGAGAATTAGCAAAAAAATAAATTAAAAAGTCAAGGCTATCAGGGTAAACCCTGATTTAATCAGTATGGCCAAACCAACATCTGAATAGCAGGTTCCACTCTCCCTATTAAGTGACCATCTTTCATTAACAAATAGTAAACCAAACAGCGGCAATTCTTCTGCAGTTGGAAGCAACTCTTTTTAGGTTGGACTAGAAACCTTGGAGGCAAGGTAATGTTGGTCCTGTTTTAGGCCCTTCATGTTGTTTTTGGCTAAAGTTGTTTCTTTATCTTTGTTTGTTTCCATGATGAATTAAGTTTATGGGAGGCTTAACAACCCCATTGGGCTGAATTTCCCAGTCTTTGGCAGTTTGTTACCAAATTTTCATGGCCTGATCTCAGGTGGCTTTGGAGGGAGTCACAAAATGGGTGAACCCCAAGATCATTCCATCAAAATTTGGCAGCAAACTATCAAGTAACCATGCTAGGGAATTAACCAAGGGGTCTAACAGGATTAGTGTCATACACAATCACATAAAAATATTAGACATCTTCATAAAAGTATGAGATGATGATTAGGAATTTTCATATGGTAAAGAGGAGGCCAATGTCTCATGATTTTCAACAGATTAGACTGAGAACATGTGCTTGACTCAAGGTCATCCTTACAGCATGATATCTCTGGCTAAGCGTGGACTTGAGCCCAGATTTTGCTTTCAAGGAAGACGAATAAAATGTATTTTACAAAAACACCCTTGCAATCAAGGGTTAATAACTGGGACCTTCAGCGTTACCTAGAAATCATTATTTATTGCCAGACATTCCTTGGCAGTGAAAGACAGAGACTAATTTATTCATGTAAAAATCGCTTTGAGAATTTCTGAAGTCGGCGAGAGACGGTGCTTTCAACAGCAGACCTTGCACGTGCTTCGTTGTGTTTCTACAAGGTGCATTCAAATTAAACTGCTTGATAAAGTTCCTTGATCATATTTAAATAAGAAGTCTCCAATCCTTTAAAAGTGCAAATGCACCAGCAATATAAGAGAGAATTTGTTCTTTTGTTGCATCTAACCTTGCAACACTGGAACAAATTTCTGAGGTTGATGCAGTATTCATCAGGGCACACTCCGTAATGGCTCTAATTCACAAACAAAGGTTTAAAAAATTGATCCAGTAGAAATGAATCAGTGCTCCATTTACAAAATACAGGAGAACTTTCTAAAATGTGGGGGAAATGAAATTATAGGGTGCAAACACGTATATTAGGGGAAGCAACTGCACATTCCTTAGGTGAGTGGGCACCAGTACAAGTTCAGCTGCTTAATTAACAGATACTAGAGTGAAGGAAGGAGGCATTGACACATGGCATTACCCCAAAGCCAAACCAGAGTAAGGACAATGTTCCTTATTACCTGCCCTTACTCATGAAGCCAAATCAGAGTGAGGGCACTGCTTTCTGTTCTCACTCATGCAGCCAAATCAGAGTGAGGGCAATACATCCTGCCCTCCTTACTCATGAACACGAATCGGGGTGTGAGCAAGGGAAGGAAATAATGTAACCATCATCTGTTAAGACTGGCAATAGGTATGTCATACAACCAAGACATAGTAAAGACATAATCACTGATGCTTCCTGGATCATAAAACTATTCCATGGAGTAAGGGCAGGAGATTCTGAGATTTATTTTAAATAAATTAAACAAAATGAAGCAGCAGGAAAGCAAGTCCTCATAAAATCTGGGCTGGGGAATTCTGGGAGTTGAAGTCCACAGGTCTTAAAGTTGCCAAGGTTGAGAAACACTGGTTTAGGAAGTCCCTCAAGACCTGGTTATGTCCTCAGGCCTTGGGGTCTTTGGGAACCAGAGACATTCTTAGATGGCTCCACTATAATTGACATTCTGCTCTCTCCATGGGATTGGTCTATTTTAAAATCCAAATGTTTTAAAATTTGGGATAATGTTTTTATTGTAATAACAACTTTTTATCTTTTTGTAAGGCTTGCTTTTATTCACTCATTATTTTATTTAATTGTTGTACGCCACCCAGAGTTGCTTGGTGTGAAATGGGTGGCTATATACATGTGATAGATAGATAGATAGATAGATAGCAGTATTATTGCTGTTCTAAAACCTCACTATTTTTTCAAAGCACAGTAGGAAGAGACCCCAGACAAGCATGAATTTACATTGTATTTTTAACTGATCTTAACGGTTTCGGTGAACCACTCAGAGTCGTTTTCTAATGAGATGGGTGGTGACAAATTTGATATCTAAATAAAATATTAAAAAAATGAAAGGTATTGATAGGGTGCCACATGTAGACTAGAGAACTGTGGCATACGGCAGTGAGGGGTTCTCCACTATCAGCCCTCAACCTCTCCTGCAAGCCCTGATCAAGCAGACTTCCACTGCTCCTGCACGACAAGAACCATACAAGGAGCTGCCCATCAATGATCTAACAATGCTTTTACCTTCCCTTGTGAGGTTTCCCTCTCTCAGGGATCCCGGCTGACGTCCTCCGATTCACTGTCGAGTACTCTGGGTCTAGTTCGTATCCTTCATCGTCAACCCCGAGGCTGCGGTTATCATCCTCAAGCCCGTACGGTTCTGGTTGGAACCGTTCCGGCTGGGAGCGATTCAAGTCTGCATTGCTCCCAGTTGGCGCCTGGGGTTGTGGAAGAGGCCCGTAGTTATCCCTCCTGCTTGGCAAAGTGAAGCTGCCGTCCTCTGGCCGGTAATTGTTCCCAGGAACGTAGGCATAATGTGGGCGGTAATTGACGCTCCGGGATAAGCTTCCATAGCTGTCGGGGAGGTCGCCATAACCGTTGTGGCTCACGAATGAACGATACTGGCCATCATGACCATCGGGATAGGAATCGCTGTAGCTGTTATAAGCTCGGGTCAAGGTGGACGATGCCTGTGGTGTGATGTATCGCTCTCCGTTCTTCATGTGCCTTCTGTCTATGGAGTCAGTGTAACTACCCATAGGAGATGATCCATCCATCACAGGGAGGCCATCTGGTCCAAGAGGGACTTGGCGCACCGTTCTAGTTGTGACGGTTTTGACCATTTTTGTTACCTGCGAGGCAGAGAGAGAAGAACACAGACATAATTTATTATTTGTACACCAGTGTGCTTCAGGGTAAATTATTTTACACCCACCCATCTGCACAAATGCAACCCAACCCAAAGAAATGGAGGATACGCCTTTTGCTATCAGTTGGGATCCTTCACAAGGACGTTGGAAGTGCTTTGCAAAAGATCGATGCCTATCTCAGCCAGTGTGGTGTTCATCCACTGGCCAATCAGATCGTAGGTGTTTAGTAGAAGCCACAATGTCCCATGTGTTATGACATCACCGTGCAAATGTCATACTTCATGTCATTTGTGCTGTGATGTCCTTTGGACAACCTTGGATCAAATACCTTCATGAAGTCCCTATAATGATCAACATACTTTCCTGCAATTTTTCTTTTGCCCCTCTTAATTTGGAGGCATCTTATCATATCATAGTTCCCTACCTGTGTTTAGTCAACACCCTTAACTGGATCAGTTAAGGACCCAGCGACCGCATTCACACGACATGCTATATTTTGCTAGTTTTAAGCTTGTTCTAAGGCTAATTCCATGTGTGTGTTGTGCAAACCCAGCACATTTAATTTATGATTCAGTGGATAGTGCAAACCCAGAGAATGGCTAAATTCCCATGATATGTGAAACCTAGTCAACTATGGTTTATTCAGTGAACCATGCTAAAGCAAACCAGGTCTTAATAAAAAGACTGAATCCAGAGCCAGGACTGTAGGTTTAAGGCTGGAGTTCTTCACTCCATTCTGGAGATGCTACAGACTGAAAGCTTTGACATTGTCACAAAGCTTCATGAAACATGATCTTCCTTTATAGGGGAGAAGCTATACATTATCTTGCTCCAAAAACATGCACCAAAAGTCCTCTTAAAGATTTTCCACCCGTATAAACATGCCACTTGGTTTAAGACCCATACAGGCACTCACTCATCAAAAGAGAGAAAATGGAGTAAACAATTCTTTAATGACACAGACACATGTTGTCAAAAAAACAGGGGGGAACACTGCATGTTCTGTGAATGTCTGACACCCATGGGTGTTTGTTATGCATGGGTAACAAACACCACACAAAGCTTTGAACAGCCAAGGGTTTATGAACAATATTTATAACCCCAAATGGACAGTACGTGTTTGGAGATGAGCAAATAGGAAAATCTGTCTTTAGGCACATTTTTCCCTTGCCTTCCCTGTTCCCTACTAGAGATTGACTTGAATCCCAAACAAGATTTACCCAGAAACAAACACTTAATTGGCCCGCCAAGGTTGGGGCAGAAAATTCCACAGTATTACAGTAGCAATAACAAATCCATTTTTTGGGATCAGCCTGGAAAGTCTTGCTCATAAAAGGAGAAGAATGAAGCCATTTAGTTCAGTTCAAAAGAGAAACCAGTAGATCAATAAGCAAAGGAAGAAGACAAAGATCTAGAAAGTGGGATCAAATGCTTAAAAAAAGTTTCAGGACATGTTTGCAAATCGATATGTGGTTGAAAAGAAGTGCCTCTCTACTCTGTAGCACTGGGGAATCTGCATTCAGCATGCTTGATGGTTTAGAAATTATGCAAGGGGAGAAGAGAGGAAAGTGGAGATATTTTGATCTGCAATAACTAATTAAAATAGATAGACCAACCGCCAGATTAGGTAAGTCACTTCAACAACCCTCCACAAAATAATTAGAGCTTGTTTTGAGCTGTTCCAAACATATGGTCCCTCCCTATTTTAGCACCATGTTGACAAGAGAAAGAAAAATGCAGAGCCACCCAAGTAGTGGATATCTTCTTCTAAAGATAGCTTTGAGCAACTGAGACTCGAAAAATATACACAACACAGAACCTGCTGAGATCACCACTAGTGGAATAATTAAGAGGTTCACAGACAAGTATGCAACATGAGCTAACGACACTAGAGGAATTACTAAGGCCTCCCTCCATCTTAAGGAAATGTTTATATCAGTAACAAACCTGCCCACTGCATTTTCAGTCTCCTCCCCCCTTTAAAAAATGTTTTTATTTCTTCAGTGTAAATAAGGGAATCCCAGCTCAAAAAAGCCTTACTCGGTTTCAGGAATATGGAAAGCAATATATCACTCATCTTTCAAATGTACCTTTACTTTGTTTTAAGAGCTAAGGGGCACCTGAAACAACTCGCCCTTAAGGGGTCTGATAATTCCTAAGGTGAAAGAGAGCAAACACAACAGAGTTAGTCTTCCTACAGACTTAGAAGTCTTCTCAACTTTGCTGAGACAATAATTCTCAGCCAATATTGCTCTGTCCAAGGTCCCGACATTAGCCCTCCTTGCCCAACAGCTGTTCATTTCTCTTCAGTTCAGTTCAGTTCAGGTTTTTCTGATTGGCAAATAATCAGGAAACAGCACCAGACAAACAATCAAGGAAGAAATCATATCCTAATCAAGGAACCATCAAGGACAAAGCCATATCTCCACCAAGACTAGCGAGGCAAATTGGTATGTAGAAATAGCCACCAAACTCTACTCTTCCATGTCCTGATGATGTTACCTACCCTGGGAATGAAATGTCTGCAAGAAAACATCCAAGCTTTGAGAACACCAAGAACCCAACAGCTTTCAACCCTGAGCTGTGTGTAGTCTGTACTATTGGACATTTTCCTGAGCTTTGCAACATATCTGAGAAGAACTGTGGGGCTCTTTCTAAGATCCCAAGGGCAGAGAGGAACTGCTGGGCAAGGAAAATAAGCTGTTCTTCCTGCATCATATCTCTGACAAGGGGGCATCAGGAGGAGATTGTTGAATGTCTGGAAGTCCTGGAACAGGACAGGAAGCTGTGAGAGAGATGATGTTGGGACACAGTGGGTTTAAGATACTGTAGAAATAAGGGTCCCAAGTGAGTTCTAAGAATGAAGAAGTCACTGATTTTGACAGTGGACCGTTGGATGGATGCAAGGGAACCCCGGTGGAATGACAGAATGACCTTCCCCCAGACATACAATTGGGCCCAACCCAGCTGGTCCTTTCCTTGACGGTTGGAGCCTCAAAAAGGAGCATCCCCATCTGGGAAGAGTAATCACTGCCAGTTCCTGATGGTCTGTTAAGGGGTGCTTTTATTTTAATGAAACAGTTGACTGGTTTGTGTTATTTCTTGTAACTGTAATCCACCCAGAGTCACCTTGTTTGAGCTGGGCAGCCATGCCAACCTCAAATAAATAAATAAATAAATAAATAAATAAATAAATAAATAAATAAGGAAGGAAGACCAGAGGTGGTGCCCTGTGATAGCCCAATGCTTACAAAGAACAGAAATGCAGGATATGCAAGGAGAAAAGCCCATGAGCTGCTTCAGAGTCTATGGTACCCTTCTGGCACGGTGTGATGCAGAGAGGAGGGAGGAAACATGGAAATAACCTCCTGGAAATTGTAAAGAATTAACACAACCCCACTCGCCTGTCACCCTTCCTGCAACTCTTGTTGTTGTTCAGTCATTAAGTCGTGTCCGACTCTTTGTGACCCCATGAACCACGTCGCGCCAGGCCTTCCTGTCCTTCACTGCCTCCCGGAGTTTCCTCAGTTTCATGCTCATTGCTTCCGTGATGCTATCTAACCATCTCATCTTCTGCCGTCCCCTTCTCCTCCTGCCTTCAATCCTTCCCAGTGTCACGGTCTTCTCCAAAGAGTCCTCTCTTCGCATTAGGTGGCCAAAGTCTCTGAGCTTGAGCTTTAGCATCAATCCTTCCAATAAAACTCTCTCCAGGAGCACCAAACAGAAACACTAGCGCCTGCTTCTTTTCCCCCTTCGTCCAAATGAAGTGATCCGTTTGGAATTGTTAGGAAAAGGAGAAAGATGCTTTAGGTGGATGGAGTATTTGATAGAAGCTGTCAAAACTTGAAAGATCCTTTTGTCTGACTTGTGTCATAAAACACCAAGTGGGGAAGGAGGAAGCACTCAAGGATAAAAGCATTCTGACATTTCTGAGCGCTTTTTTTTTTTTTTTTTTGACATCTAGACT